TACAGCACTACATCATTTTTCAAAATATTTTTAAATCCAAAATAATATTTAGAGTGAAACAATCGTGAAAAGCTTACAACCGTTACAACCTCTAAATGTAAACAATTCGCTTGTATATATCATGGTGTCGTACAGTACCTTCAGGTAGTAGGTAGATCTCCGTTATGCTTATGCGAAATCGCGATCAGTTACGTAGAAGTTATTGAATAGAACACGTTAAAGTCCGAGGGACTCTACGACGTAGATTGTAATAATTTTTATTTCAATGGAGGTTTCTAAAAGTAAAAAAATTGTGCATCAAGACGATGCTAATTTTGAAGACATTGTTGGGCGATGGCAGGAAGAGGCCGATAGTGATTTTTCCGACCAAGATAGTGACGACACGCCAAACAGTAAACACGAAAAACCAATTTGAGCGACTATAGTTCTGAGGGGATGAAATCGGATGAAAGTCAGGGGTCTGATGAAGATTCAATGAATGAAGTGAATCCAAACAGATGATACTTTTAGGAAAAAAAAGGTACAAATGGGCATCAGTTGAATCTACTCGCAATATTAGAACACCTGCTTCTAATTTATTGAGATCACTCCTGTTTTCCTTTTGTCACCCTTCGAATAATCGATATAAAGCATTAAATGCATTATATTATTCACCAGGCTTGAGCCAACAGAATAAAATATACAAGATTAGAGTTTCTGAATATTTTGGCACAGTAACTATATGAACCTGTTCTTCGAGAACGAGAAATTAACAAACACAACGTCTTCCAAGAGAACTAAGACTCAGCATTCAAAAGGTGCTAAGAATAAATCCAACCGAAAATGACGATCATCCAACCTTATCCAGGAACGCTATTAAGTACTTCTATTTATGTAACTCAAACTTGAAAAAAAGACAAGTTTTCTGTGTATACAGTGTAAACAACCGATCTGTTTGCAATGCAGCAAACAAATATATAGTGAATGTGTAAATAAGCGTGAAGAAATGTGACCAACTAGCCAATTTTCAGGACTTGCACAATTTTTTTTCAAATAACTTTTTGTATAAAAAATATTATATATTATTTTTGTATTCGATATAGTTTGAAAAAACGTGTTTTAAAAAAAAAGTTTATATGAAATAATCTGTTTTTTTATCGACGTAAACGCTGATAGCAGAATTTTCAGTTGATTCAATTTTATTTTCCTATAAGTTCATAACATATATAACATAACATAACATAACATATTATATAACATAACATTCAGAGAACAAATTGTCAGTTTGACAAAATAGAGTCCCAGGGATTCTACCACGCCGTTTGTGTAAAATTAATTCACCACTTTGGTTAAGGGTTAAAATAGTCAATGTTTTTAGGAACTTATTTATTTTCAAGCATGAAAATTTTCAAGGTCTATGAGGTTTTGCAGTTGAGGTTTTGCACTAGCTCTACATAGTTCAAATAAAAAAATACATCTTAGAGATTACAAAAAGAAAATTATTCTATTTGTTTACGACTTTTTTTATATTTTCTATTTCGTGCATCGTTTCTTTAGTCTTCTACTTGTATTATTTCTAGTTTTTGTTCACAATGTTATTTGAGGGGTCTAACTGCAAAACTCACATTCTCCGTTTTTGTGAATTTTGGCAAATTGCAAAAAACTGTAAAAACTATGTTCCAAGCCTATTTCTTGATTATTTTTCACAAATCATTTGCTTTTGGTCTCTTGAATTCCCTGCTCAAGTGAAGAACAAATCAAATGACTATAAATATATATTTTTTAATGTTTAAGTTTGGATAATGTGAGTTTTGAGTTCAAAAATGAAAAATGTGAGTTTTGCATCCAAGCGATATGGAGAATGTACGTTTTGCTTCATTCCCGAATGAGCGAGTTTGAGCTACACCATCAGTTTCTAGGTTTCTACCTTAGATTTATGGATTGAAATATTATTGCAAATATATATATATATATATATATATATATATATATATATATATATATATTATATAAATATAAAGGAAAATGTAAAAGATGCCAATAACTAAAATTCATAAAATTTATATTATTATTTTATTATGTCCATTCAACATCAAATTAGTTACAATAAAATGAAAAAAAAAAAAATTAAATATTAAAAGCAGAAATTTCTTCTGTTTCGTCATGTTGTTGTTCGACTGCAGATTCATTATCAATGGCATGCTTAAAAAACTGTAGTGTATCTAGAGATCTCCAGTCCTGGCCATAATGCTTACCTAATAATGTTTGAACGTTATCTTTCTTTTCTTGTTTTAGGCTATTCCCCTTAACAATTCCCCTTCCTCGCTTTGCAATAGACTTTGCAGTCATTAACTTATTTCTGTAATTACATTCTCCCTGAATAAGGATTGTGTGTCCTGATTTTGTTTAATAAACACGTTTGCATGATTTTATGCCAAAGTGCCAGCCACTTAAAGGTTTAATGACATCAATAATGGCATTTTTCCAATCCATGTTAATTAAATCAGTTCCGAGTATCTTTTCCGTTGAATATTTTTTTATTATATCAATGTATTCGTTTGGAAAAAGAATATTTTCTTGCTTTTTTATCTCTTTTTCGATGTTACCAAATACACGATGTGGAGGTATAAAGCTGTGTCCTGTGACAGGGAAAACCAATTGCACCTCTTTAATATTACCTAGTGCTTTTGAAAGCCAGTATGCCACCATGCTAATTAAAATAGTATTTTTGTTCTCTCCACCACAACTATCACAAATAAGTCTAATGGTTTTGTAAGGTGACAAATCAACAATTGAGTTTAAATAATAAAATAAGCAAGATGATATTTCATTTGCTCCTTTGTGGTACTCATTTTCAGTCCAAATAAAGGATGTCACGTTTTGGGTACCCATTTTTGATTTGGAATGACCAGCAACTACATAGAAATTGTTCAAATAAATCTGTCTGCTGTAGTAAGTAGCTTGATCAGGAATTTTTGGGAGTGGTTGATTCTTCTGACTATCAAAAGAGAGAATCAGTTAATCATTTACGTTTTCCTTGAGCAATTCATAGAATGCTTTTGACCTTTTTGTGCATTCTTTTTTCAACCATTAAATTATTTTTCTGAACGGTCTTTTTACAAACTTTAATCCTTTCGGTCAATTCCAGACAAGTAGAGCAAACGTCTACACGGGGTGAGCTAAAACCCAAATTGTAATTTCTGTTAAAAATGTAACGGAAATAACATTCTTTAACTTCCATGTCTTTAAATTTCTCATCTGCACAAAATATTCTCCATAACTTTTTGATGTTCAACTCAGAAGGGAGATATTTACGGCCCCCTTTGTTTGAGCAATAATGTGTTTCACTGCATTTAAATCTATTTATAAATTTCATTATTGCTTCCTTTTTAGGACCAAAGCGATCACCCGTATGGTCTCCACCTCGTCTTTCTTTTGGCATTATTCCATCACGAAAATATTTTGATAAACGATTTACTCTAAAACGTGATATTTTCAAGCACTTTAAAAATGTCTGCATACAAACAGGCACTTTACATTTTTCCCTGTCTGGAATAAAGTATTTGGCTCTTGTTTCTTGCGCCTTTTTTTAGTTCTTATTGGTTATAGCGAGATTTTTTGGGAGTCTCCTCCTTTGAATAGGTTCCAATGATATGTGCAAAAGTATAAAATTATCCTGACTTACTTTATCCTTGTTTTCGTAGAATTTCTGGTGAAACCTACGAATGTCTTGTATAGTTAAAGTCTTGCAATGAAATGCCCCTTGTGAATGACTGCACGTAGGAAAGTCGGGGAATCCCGTAGCACAATATCTAAAAAAAAAAGAAACATGATTATTACACATTTCATTACACATTTTAAAATGACAGAGAAATGTAATCTATAATTTAAGTAATAATTACGCTGTAAAAACACATTTATCTAACCTACCTTTGTTTTTTTACTATTGCCCTTTTCCACTTCTCGGGGTTTGGAACAGCTTTTCGTGCCCGTTCTCCACCACTTACTGGAGATACTAGTATATCCATTAGGTGTAATACGCTTTAATGGATATATTAATATAATGTAATTAATAATATATCTTTAAATAATTACATAACACGAGGAATAAATGAATCAAACTCTAACGGTTAAACCTCGTTAGAAAAACAAACGAACTGATACAATAGCGCCGGCATTCGAGATTCGAGGTCGCGCGCAGCCAGGCAGCGGCTTCCTATTGGTTGAATGGAAAATGTAAGTTTTGATGTAAATTGAAGTGTGGATAATGTAAGTTTTGCAGTTAACTCGACTTTTTGACATTAATTTTCTACTGGATAACAAGTGTTTTGTGGCATTTTTAGACTTTAATTTAATGTAATCCAATATGGAGAATAAGAAAATGAGTCTATCTCAATTTCGCCAAAATGTGATAATGTGAGTTTTGCAGTTAGACCCCTCTGATCTTTGAGGTAGCCTTCAGTTTTATCTGCTAGAGTGTGTTGTTCTGCAGGACTAATATTGATAATTTTTACTTTATGTTTTTTTATATGTCCTAGTAAAATTAACCTACCTTCTCTTTGGGGCCAATAAAAGTTTTTAATATTTACGTCGTCGTATACTTAGAAATCCTATTTCTCAGCTTGTTCTAAATTTTCTCCACATTTCTTTATTTATTCCTTTCTAAACATATTATTACTAGTTGTTTCATCACTATGAACAAATGATTTATCTTTTTGTGCCATAGACTTGTTTAGAAGATTTAGAAGATTTATGAAAATTTAATATATAGAGTGATCAACTTTTGTGAGAAAGTTCGTTATAACTGTTATTAAAAGGGATACCAAAAAAAGTTATTTATAAAAATAGGAGGTAGCTATAAGCTTTACATTTTAAATATACAAGTAGTATATTGTAATTTGCCGTTCTTCGTTTTTCTCGTAAATATGTATATAGTTATATATGTACGATTAATGAGTGAATACGTGTTTAATAAAATGCGAGTGAATACGAAATTTTAAAAATATTTCTTTATTTTTTAGAATACCGAAGAAGAATATATCCCCATCGAAGATCCAAATGTAACGATAGAATCCCAAAAAAAAAGTATTGATGTAAATCCAAATATTTCATTATTACTGTACCTACAAAGCATTATTTACATGCCGTATTCGATAAGAATACTTTGTACAACGAATCTATTTTGTTGGATGGCACACGTTTGTTATTCTTTGTATTTCACTGATTTCGTTGGAGAAGCTGTTTTCAACGGAAGTCCTACGGTAAGTTTAAAAAATGTACCAAAAAAATGTTTATTTTCTGCAAAACACAAATTGTTTTTAAACTATATTAAGTGAAAGAAAATTGGATTATTTATATTATTTAAAATTAAAATTATTAGCAAACGCAGTTTGTTTAAAATGTTAGTAATTACTATGATTGCAATTTCTGAACACAAACGTAAATGCCTCAAAAATATGCGCCCACGGCTACTATGATGGGACTAATGCAAGTGGAGTTTTAGAAACTTAAAAATTAATTAACAGTCAAAAATTAATTCTGAAAATTATATATTCTAAATTTTTAAAATAAGGTATGTTATTGAATAATTAATAATTCGTATTATATAGACTTAAACTGGAATTCAAAACTGTAAAAAATATAGAGTGATAAATTTATAATGTCGCGCACAATAAAGTTTTGGGAGATTACCGTAAATTTAAGGTTTAGGAGGGAGAGCACTCTATTCTCTCCTATTCTATAGGAGAAGCACAGTTTGGGTTTATGCCAGTAAGGAGCATAGCTTATGCCTTGTTTGTTTTGGCCATTGCCTTTTGTGGATGATATTTCATTAGTAAAGATGAGTTAAGACACATTAAAGAAGGTGGAGGGCTGGAAAGAGCTATTGAAGAGGGAGGACTAGAAGGTAAGCAGGTCGAAAACTGAATATATGTAGTTGGGAAGGGCAGGAATAGTTGGAGACATAGAAGAATTTTAATACCTTGGCTCAATATTTGGCTACATAAAAAAACTGGAACATTAGGTCGAGAAATTGCCCATAGGATACAAGATGATTGGTTGAGCCGAAAGCGAATGAGTGGGGTACTCTGTGATCGAAAAATCGAGGAGAGACTTCTTAATTTCCTATTCTTCTGTAATCTCAGCAAAGCCATCTTTCTCATTCAAACTAAGTATTTGAATTTGTGACACAAGTCGAAATGAAGTAGAAGTGGAACAAGCAGCACCATATAATATTGGATAAATAGTCGATAGTAACCATCAAATGCTTATTTCCTGATGTTTTTACTGCAAATGATCTCAGAATGTCGACAGCAACTTATTTATATGAAGTTCTGATGATGTACTGTTTGAGTTTTAAATCCCGTTTTGGGGCCCTTATTGCATGAACGCAGGCCACATATTGCTGATGATTAAACCAGTAATCCCACTCACGGATTCTGGCCAGAGTCCTACTGATCCCAAAATGCACCCTGGAGCGGCGATCTAGGAGTTTTGCAAGGACATTGTTTGCACATGTCCTTGGAAGAATAACCGGGGGCACTGTTCTCGTTCCATCTAATATCTTCCGGTTACGAGTGTAAATGCAACCTTGCAGACACAAGGAGTCCCACTAAAGCTAATAGCCCTTCACTGCTTGGCCATATTTGGCAATTTTCTATAGACTAGCCTTATTATTCAGCCACTCAAGGACTATCTTTAGATCTGGATTTTTCTTTTGCTCGATCTGCAGATTTTATTGGGTTACAATTTCTTCGTCACTTTCGCCCTTTGGTTTTCAACTGTAGACTCTGACCTTCCCAATCTTTATGGCGCTCGCAGAATTGGCACTTCTTTTTTTTACATGATCCTCTCTAGAGGCCGTCGGCAGTTCCATGAGTTCTTTCTGCTTGTTATTGAATGTTTCATTTTGAGAAGCATTCGTTTTTAGCACGAAAATACCCTCATCTTTAGAATATGCCAGGATTGGAGCTGTTGTCAATTTATGCTTGAGTGTGGTGAAGGCAAGCTGCAACTGCTGTATGTCTTCAAATGACAGCTTTCTCTCAGTCAAATTATGGAGAGGTTTTGCAATATTTCCAAATTCTTCCACGAAGCAATGATAGTAACTTCAAAGGCCAAGGAAGCTTCGGACATCGAGTTTGTTTCTTGGTGTGGGTCATTCTTGTACTGTTTTTTTTTTGACTAATCTACTGCAGCTTTTGGGTCCGAAATTACATGCCATGACATGAAATAAATGTAAAAAGCGAAATTTATCTTGGAAGAGGTCGACCTTTTTTCATTTACTTGTAGGTAGTATTCGATGACTGTTCCTCAGTCTGGTAACAACTTGTTTTAAATTGGTTATGTGTTCGTAGAAATCCATTTCGATAACCATGATATCGTCAAGGTATACCAAACAGATTTCTACGTAAGTCTTTTCAGTATTAACTTCATTATTCGCTCAAACGTGACAGGTGCATTACACAATCCTAATGGCATAACTTTGAATTGAGTCCATTGTCAGCAGAAAATGCTGCCTTCCCTCTATTTTCAGAGTAGATTGCAACTTACCAATAGCTGTTTTTGAGATTCACTGTGGAAAACCATTTCGATCTAACCTAGTTGTCTTTCTTGGCTTTCGTCTTCTTCAGCTTTTCCCTTTGCAACTGTCGCTGTTTCTTATTCTTTTCGCAAATAATTTCTGCTCATCGTGTATTCTTCATTATAACCTTTCTCTCTTAAGTTTTTGCCAAGCAGTCCTTCCATCTTCTCCTCTACCTGTCTTTCCCTTAACTTCAAACAGCTCTATCCTTCGTCCCACGTAGTTTTCATTTTTACGTCTGACGTAACCAAACCATTGTAGTCTTTGTTCTTAAACCTTTTTTGATTCTTAACCAACATCGACCGTGATATTATTATGTCAGCTACCTCCATCTTCTTTTTCTGAACCCTCTTTATAGGCTACACTTCACCGCCGTTCCGTACACCATTGTAGTAGTATTGTATCGTGTACCGTATCTTGTCTGTAGTATTTTGAGCAAAGTTTTAAAAAGTGGCTCATTGAGCCTTATTACTTATTAGCCTATCTGGGTCGCTCTCTACACTTAGCCTTCTACTAGGAATTACTCGTATGAGCGGCAGAGAAGGAGTGTCCTAGGGGCAGGGTTAACCGCCTGACTGCCAGGTTTTTTTCAAGAATTTGCTTATATTGTTTAGAAGTTTTATTTTCTCGAAGTGTAGCAGTGTCCGAAAAATAAAAGAAAAATATTTTTACTTTTTTCTTCTGGGTCTACTAGGGCAAACGGGTAATAATATATCCGCTAGATCCACTCCTAGATAAATTGGTTATAATTTTTAATAATATTAGGTCGTTTTATCATTTCAACTCTTTTCTCTTCTTAGTCCATATTTTACAAAAATCTGAATTGGTATAATTAAAACCAGAAAACATCAAGATAACTGATTCATAATGTCTTTTTGGTTTTTTCAGAGTACACTGTTTTACATAATTGTACCAGTTCCAAGGAATCCGTACATTTTCTATTAACGTATTTATTAGCTTCAAAGTTGTAAAATATCTATCAAAATGGAGGAAGTGTCCTGGGATCAAGGTTTCACATATGCTAATAATTACAGTTTCACCTAAAGTAAAACTTGTTTGAATAATATCTGGAAACATTGTATTACCCAGATATACCAGCATGCCACAAATTACGCCATTTCGACTGGCCAATACAAAAACCTTAATACCAAAAGAATTTGGTTTGCCTGGACAATAGTGACATAGTGACTTATACTAAAGTTATCAGTGGAAGGGATTATCATCTAAATACTAATATGAATTTATTCTTGTCATCGATTTTTAAAATATTTCCACTCCAAAATCAGTCGACCAATACCATTCTATTTTTTACAAGTTAGTAGAACTCATGATCAGAGTAATTTCTACAAAAAATTTCAACTCATTGCCAAACCTAATTTTTTTCCCATATATATTTGTTTGGTTAGTAGCCTCATCCATAGACCAACAAATATTTATCGTAAATATATTCTTTAAAATATTTCATCGGATTCTAGCTACTGCGATCAATTTTGATATAACGAGTTTATACTAAGATATATTATTAATTAGGAATTAAATTATCAGTGCAGTAATCTTGAATGGAAGTAGAAAGTTTCGATTTATTTTTAATTTTGTTACCATGACTCATTTCTCCCTTTGTTCCTCTTTCGCTGTTTAGTCCACTTCCTCAGTCTTTTCACTTTAAATTGTAAAATAAAATATTCTAAATTTATAAATACATTCCAACATTAACTATTCATTGCAAATTAAAATTATAAATTAAACGGATTGATATTATTTTATTAGATTACTTAGGTACATAAGTCTCTTCTTGAACCCCAACGTCTTGGCGCCATCTTGTCAAACGAACATAAATGTTAAGAAACAGTAAAGTAAACACGAGACGCTTTGAGTATACAAAGTAGTAATCGAGTAGTAATCGAGTGCATCTGTGGGCTGCATAATGAAAAGTGATTACAGAGAACTAGGTTTTTACGTTACTAATTTTTAGAGTTTCGGTTAGAGGGCGCCTCATAATGCATTTGGTTTTTATGTACTAAATATATGCCATAATCAGTTAGGAGGTTTTAAGGGAAAGAGTACATCCATAAACTAAGTCGTAAAAAATGCTGACTTTTTAATGCTTCGCCACCCCTTCGTCGTAAAGCGTTTATCAGTTGAAACTCCTTCCTCATGTTGGCGTCGCTATTACAATTAATGAAAAAATTCAATGTTATATCTGGATTTTCAAAAATAACTATAAAACTGTAGGTATATATGAATGTCTCATATGAGCTAGTGAAAAATTATATTTAAAGAGAAAATGTCGACAAATTAAAATACACCAAACGACTCTCATGTGCAATGCGCACTCATTCCATCCTCAATCTTGTCGTATACCATCGTAATAAGCAAAGTCCCCCTTATCCCTTCTCGATGACGTAGTTTATATATGTTTCGATGTGTTATATATGTATAATATAAACGTTATCACAGGATAAATAATAATTATAGTATGATTATAATATTTTATTTCAGGCCACGGCAAAAAGTTTGGCTAAAGAATTATATGAAGACGGAGTAAGATTTGGATGCTGGGGCATGTCAATGTATTCCTTGTCTTGTGCTTGTTATTCAACAAAAATTGTAAAATTAATTTCAGTGTTTGGGTATGTATAAAGAAAGATAATATATTTTTGTATTTTTATTTCTATATATGCATATTTTTTAGTGCAAGAAATATATACGTCGGTGGGTTATTGGTTTACTCTATTGGCATGCTTTGTATGGCCATAACTAAACACAAAATTGGAGTTTTATTGTTTAGCTGGACAGCTGGAATTATGTATTCGACCTTGTTTACGATGCCTTACCTAATTGTTGCTCATTATCATGCCAAAAGAACGGTAGGTTTTTTTTAATTATATATATATATATATATATATATATTATATATATATATATATATATATATACATAAATATACAATATATATATATATATATATTTATATATATGTATATATATATATATATATATATATATATGTATATATATATATATATGTATATATATGTATATATATATATATGTATATATATATATGTATATATATGTATATATATGTATATATATGTATATATATATATGTAAATACTTTTTTCTTTTTGGGTGTGGTAGTCAATAAAAAATAGAGCTTTGCTAAGGCGTACTATTTATTCTGAAATCCGAGCTTTCGGTGGTTATTTGCCACCTTTATCAAGGTCTACAATGAAATTTACTGTGTTATAATAACATTAGGCTGATGTAATATAAAAGTTATAAAAACTTACCAGAAAGTAAGATTCATAGCATATAAAACACAACGTTAAATAACATAATGTGATCTGAATTATTGAAGGCATTAAAAATTTTAAAAACTTTAAAATACTTAAAAATTAAAGAACATGTTACAAAGTTTAAAAAGTAAAAAATAAGACGACATGTTTGACAAAAAACAGTCGTCTTCGCAGGTTTGAATTCAGTCACATCTCACGAACAGGAAGAGGTAGTAGGAGGAACTATTGTTGTTTAAATAGTTCGATGTAACTACAAAAAACAAACTTTCAAACTGATGTCTAACAAAATGCCGCTTGTGATTTTAAGTACTACCAACCATGTTACCAACTTAGAATTGAGAGGGAAATTTAAAAAAAGGTTTTATTATGTCAAAAAATAAAAAAAAAATAGTATTTAGTAAGTAGGTTTAGAAAAAACAAACAACCAAAACAAAATGAACATCTGAAAAATAACTGAAGTTAATCATGATAATTATAGCAATTAATAATGGAATTTAAGAAACATGAAGCACTCTGAGATGCAGAAAACCCTAGTCAAAAGTCAAAATAAAATTGTAAATTTTGCTAAGATTCTGGATCTCCGATCTTTTCTTCAGATTGTTGTTATCACTCCTGCTGATATGTACCATTTCTAAGAATGTTCTCTTAAATTTATTTTTCTCTCTGGCTAATATTTTAACATTGTTGAAATCTATCTTATGGTCTAGATCGATAGTGTGTTCTGCCAAAGCACAAGTGGGTTTATTTAGTCTACAGTCACTCTTATGAGAAATGATACGACTAGACAGATTTCTTCCAGTTTCACCAATGTACGTGGATGGACATTCAGTACATTGAATGCAATAAACAACATCTCTTGACTCTAAAGTAGTTAGGGGTTGTTTTATTTTGCTATATAGCTGACGTATGGTTTTGATGTTCTTGTTAGCTATTTTGATGTTCTTAAATTCTTTGAAAATTTTAGTAAGTTCTACGGTTAGTTTTGGGATATACGGAAGGGCATAAATAATTTTTAATGTTCCATTTGTTAACAGAAATAACATTCTCACTAATTCTCAATCAGTGCCCTCAGCACAAAACAATTCTTCTCAAACAAGTGTGTATTTTTATGCCCTTCCGTATATCCCAAAACTAACCGTAGAACTTACTAAAATTTTCAAAGAATTTAAGAACATCAAAATAGCTAACAAGAACATCAAAACCATACGTCAGCTATATAGCAAAATAAAACAACCCCTAACTACTTTAGAGTCAAGAGATGTTGTTTATTGCATTCAATGTACTGAATGTCCATCCACGTACATTGGTGAAACTGGAAGAAATCTGTCTAGTCGTATCATTTCTCATAAGAGTGACTGTAGACTAAATAAACCCACTTGTGCTTTGGCAGAACACACTATCGATCTAGACCATAAGATAGATTTCAACAATGTTAAAATATTAGCCAGAGAGAAAAAATAAATTTAAGAGAACATTCTTAGAAATGGTACATATCAGCAGGAGTGATAACAACAATCTGAATAAAAGATCGGAGATCCAGAATCTTAGCAAAATTTACAATTTTATTTTGACTTTTGACTAGGGTTTTCTGCATCTCAGAGTGCTTCATGTTTCTTAAATTCCATTATTAATTGCTATAATTATCATGATTAACTTCAGTTATTATTCAGATGTTCATTTTGTTTTGGTTGTTTGTTTTTTCTAAACCTACTTACTAAATACTATTTTCTTTTTATTTTTTGACATATTAAAACCTTTTTTTAAATTTCCCTCTCAATTCTAAGTTGGTAACATGGTTGGTAGTACTTAAAATCACAAGCGGAATTTTGTTAGACATCAGTTTGAAAGTTTGTTTTTTGTAGTTACATCGAACTATTTAAACAACAATAGTTCCTCCTACTACCTCTTTCTGTTCGTGAGATGTGACTGAATTCAAACCTGCGAAGACGACTGTTTTTTGTCAAACATGTCGTCTTATTTTTTACTTTTTAAACTTTGTAACATGTTCTTTAATTTTTAAGTATTTTAAAGTTTTTAAAATTTTTAATGCCTTCAATAATAATTCAGATCACATTATGTTATTTAACGTTGTGTTTTATATGCTATGAATCTTACTTTCTGGTAAGTTTTTATAACTTTTATATTACATCAGCCTAATGTTATTATAACACAGTAATTTTCATTGTAGACCTTGATAAAGGTGGCAAATAACCACCGAAAGCTCGGATTTCAGAATAAATAGTACGCCTTAGCAAAGCTCTATTTTTTACTTGTCTGTATATATATATATATATATATATTATATATATATATATATATATATATATATTGTTATGATATGTAAAATCGAGAAAAATATTGGTTTGCTTAAAATATTTCAAAGTTCGAAAAATTAAAATAATTCAGATAAGTCGAATAAAAAACTACAAACATTTCGAAGAATGAAAGTCCTTTATCTTTGGATTACCTATATTGAACAAAACGTAAGATATGCATAAATTATTTTCTTTGTTAAAATATATTTGAGTGACGTGAATGGGCTTAAGTGAAATCCTAGACAATGGAAGCGGGTTTTCTAAATAAATTTGTGCAGTAATTAGGACAATAGAATAGATTTTAGAAAGATATGTTTTTGTTAGTTCATAAGAATTGGTAAAAAAAAGATTAGTTTGTAAATAAGTTTTAGGAAATTTTATAATTGTAGGTAAAAATTTGTTTGTGTTATCGAAATGAAGAAATGGGAGATGTATGACGCGTTTTGATCGGATGAGAGTGAAAAAGGTGGGATGGTTGGTTTGAGAATGAGACTTTAGTTAGTTAAAAAATATAGTCAGTTGGTTTCCAAGTGTGCAAGACGAACGGCCGTTGTTCTCGGGTAGTTTCCCAAAGGTAGGAAGCAGTAGCAGTAAAAGTTATCGTAAAGAGAAGATATTCCAAGAGTAATTTTTCACTCAGGCCAACGAGAGATTCAGTTTATCGAGATGAGAAGAGGCTAGCATAATTTGAATGATTCGTGCATTTGAAGGAGATCATTAAGGACGATAAACTTGCAACAATTTGTTGTAAGATTGCTGATTACCTAGGGAGCTGCTAAGAATAGATAGTATAGGCTACAAGGAACAAGGATTTGGACCACTCATCATCAGAGAGCGATAGTTTTGTTTTTCTGCAGTTTTTTCTTTTATTGATAACACAATTTTTAGAATTACTTTAGAAAAGATATAAATATTTTGATTAGGAGTTTTAGAATAATAATTGGGATTTTGAGATTTTAATTTATATTATTGTTTACGTACCTAGAACAAAATTTTGAGAATCATTATGAGATATTGTTTATTGAAAACATTTGAGTGTGAATTTTATTTCATTATTTTTATTTCAATATATAGTGTTATATCATATATTTTTTTTTATTATTCTGGTATTCTTTGGACCTTACCTTTCACATGTAAAGTATAGATATTGAAGCACGAATATAACCCTGTGATAAGAGAATTAAAAAGTGTGATAGAATCATAATCATATCATTTAAATAATTTTAATTAATTAATTATTTATTAATTAGCTAATTAATTGCTTGGCGCACTAAGACTTTGAATATCACAATAATATATATATATATATATATATATATATATATATTATATATATATATATATATATACATAATAATTATGTATAACGGTAACCCGCTTATACTCCCTAGTTAGATATACCAATTACGATACTATACAGAAGACATTATGTTAAAAATATTGAATATAGTTAGTAATGATAATAACATCACTTCTGGTAGGTGCATCAACTCTTTCCTTGCCGTATTTTTTTCGGTGACTTAGAACCTAAATTCTCTGCTTGAAATGCAAAGGTGCACTCTCCTAGTGAAATAAAAATGTTTAAATTCTAGTTCTAAACCCGTATGTGTATAAGTATCAACCTACACAGTCATGGTAGAGTATTTCCTTTACCTCATCTTTCGTGTGAATAAATGTCTACTTGAAAAGGTACTTTATCCGGGTACCATATGATCAGAAATCATCATCCTGATGTTACTATGTCCTGATTTAACAGGGCTCGGATTTATCGCAGTCTATAATATCCCAGTCTCACATCTCTCTTATATCTACGAGCCGATACAGTGATTTTTATTAAATCTAATAAAAAAACTGTGTATACTACACAGATGGAGATTAATGTGGAAGTGAAGAAACATTCAGTTTTTAAAGATGTTATAGGAAAGCTTCCATTTTATAGGACACGTTCTTGTAATAGTGGTTTAAAAAGCTGTTTAAGATATTGAGTAATATTCTAGTGGGAATTGTTTCCACTTCTTTTCGTGTCCGTCCTAATAAAGTCTCAATAGTTCTTGGGGAATTACTTTGAAACACTTTCAAATTTAGATACCCTCAAAGAAAGTTGTCGCATAGTGAGAGGTCCGGACTATAAGGTGGTCAGGGTATATCGTTGTTTTTACTCATAAGACGACCAGGGAACGATCTTCTTAGTAATATCATTAAAACTTGTGATATGTGATTTGTTGCATCATCCTGTTGCAAAGCCATGTGTTCATTTCTGTAGTTCTTGATTGCCGGAATTTTCAAACATGTTCATGTAACGAACAGAAATTACTGTTATTGCTTGCCCATCCTCGTTGTCAAAAAAAATAGGTCGGATAATTCCTAACAAAGAAAATGCGCACCACTTGGTCGGTTACCTTTTCTGAATATAGGGGTCTTTCGTATAATTGCCGCGGATTATTCTCGAACCAATAGCGGAAATTTTGTTTATTTATAATTAGTACGCTTTAACATTTGTTCACAAAGCCCTAGTGGGTGTGATAATCTCAAACGTTAAGGGCTTGTACAATATGAATTTTGTATGGATGATACTGGACATCTTTATACCAAATTCTGCTCGTAGTGGTACAGCTTAATTCTAGCTTCGAGGACTAGTGTGCTAGTAAATTTGACACTGCCACCTTTTTTCTGTGATCTTAAACCACTTCTTTTATAGTTCCTAACTCAGGTCTGAATAGCCTTACTAGACGAAACTAGAGCATGAGGCGACAAATGGTAGTGTAAACTAACGCTCTTTGTACGCGCACCAAGCTATTACCATTTTTGTAATAAGTTTCCCAGCAAATGCGCGTTGTTCACCCGACAATTTCTCCATAACTAAACTTTCCACTCTCTAGATTCCTAACGTTTACATCGCAAGCCCGCGCCTCCTCCATTTTTTTGCCTGCAGCTTTGCCAAATCGTGACGTTTCACTGAATCACTTGCTATATGAGTAAAGATGAGAGGTCCGGTCGGACCTCAATGACTGTCGTTGGTGTGCAATACCTCACCAATAGCTCTTGTAACTTGGAGACAAAAGCAAATCTTTACACTTTGTTTAGTTTGATCAGCTCAGGATATAATACCTGTCGTTGCTGAGTCTATCTATGTACTCATCCATGACCAGATTTCGACAAAAGAGAAGACCAGATGCGACAGTTGTGCTGTATTAATACACTTACAAATATAATTCAGACGGTAGGGAAACGGATCAAGGAAGTAGAGATAAAGCGGGAATATTAAAACTCGGCCCGAGGAACGGATGGTATCCAATCAGTACTTGAACAAAGAAGAGAATAGGTATGTCTCAGATCAATACTTCAAGACCGGGTAGGGAACTGCCACTAAATCAACACTCCACCCTAGCAAAAGCTGTTGGCCTTCAGTCAGTACCCTTGGGCCAGCGAACTGCTCTTTTATAGGTCGAAGACCTTTCATCTCCTCTAGCGCACATCGATAGAAGAGGGACTTCTATTAGGGACGAGTGAATACGAAGCGCTGACGGTATCGAGACGATGCAGATCGTTACAACATATGTGTCGATATTCTAAACAAGACACCTCATATGACACATGCATGCCATGTTTTAACAGTTTTAACCACGTTAGTCGTGGCAACTGTTACATTAACGTCAAATAAACTTATTTTAAAGTAAAATTGTGGCCTATTCTCAACGAAAAATAGTTACTCAACGGTAGTGTTTTGATATGTCGTTTAACTACTATACAGATTCTGAGGATTTATGCCTAGATATAAACTCTATACCAATGCCCGATATAATAGGGCTCTTATATTAAAGATGCATCAAACCTTCACATAGCAACATTAAGTTCTGCTTAAGTTGCCTTACTATGCTTAGTTTGCCTACAGCCTGCAAGTCTTGAAATAAGCGGTCCTCAAAGTTTTGAAGGAGATGTCGTCGATCGTGTAGACTAGGACTTGCATGTCATCTCCGATCTTCCGATTTTTCAACAACCAGCATTTTACATTTTTTCGTAAAACAACACTAAGTTTTTCTTTTTGATTTTATCGTATGTTTTTTAAAATCATTTTCTCGTTAATATGAAATGATAATTTGTTTTACTAATTATTACAATGACCCTAATATATGCTTATAAAGTATATAGCCATTTTAAAGCAAATTCAATCATGCAAAACATTTTATTTTGTTTTGATGTATAATTTCTTAAAATTACGAATAATATTCAAAATTGTAGTGGGTGAAAATATGCCTTACGTATATAGAAATCTATATTATTTAGTATATAGTATATAGTATATTTCTCATTTTTTTCTCTTTAACAGACAATTTCATTGTCCGCTAAAGAGAGAATTTAATCTAATGTTTTTATTTTGTAAAAAGTATTCTTAAATAAATAATGATTACGTTTTTTTAGTTTGAAATTACTGAAGATGGCAAAGAAAAAATTACAACTCAAATACGTGGGCTAGGTACAGATGTCGCCCTTATCTCAAGCATGGTATTTGTAGCTCAATTTATCCTTAGTATATGTATGGGTACTATTGTTAATACCACTGGGACTATCACATCTATAGTCAGTGTCGCCAGTATGCTTGCTTTCTTTGGTGCAATATCTGCTAGTCAAGTGATGTATTTAGATCTCTAGTAAAGTAATATAGTAAGTAATATTTTTAAAAAGCATTTTGAAAAATGTTGGGTAGTAATGAAGGACAGATGTTTGTGATAGGAAATTAATATTAAATATCTTAATATTAATTAAATTTAAATTGTAGCTATAGCATACAAATAAGTAAATAAATAAATAAGACAAAAAAGCAATAGACAAATAAGTAAAATGACAAATAATAAGGTAGTCCAGTAGATTTTATTAAAACAGCATTCTTACAACAACTTTGCTTAACGCTAAAATACGATGTTATTACTTGTACATATCCATTTAATAAAGTATATAAAGAAACATTGTTACTTGTTATTTCAAACTACATTAGTTAAAGACAAGGTCCCTTAGAGGGGATAAGACCAGTAAGGAAGAGAAAATCAAACCATCAAAATTCTTTGTCTTATAAGACCGATTTGAAAATCTCCAGGTAAGTTGAGTTAACATAAAGCGACAAAGCTGGTCATACATGGAGACACTGTGTTTAATATCTGAATAGCTTAAATGTCGATGAAACGTACGATGTTGGCTGTTGACTGCGAGAGACCGCTATACGGTTCCATTACAATAGTATGATCGACAGCAAATGGACAAAGCGGATACTGGAGACCGAGAGACAAAAGTTACCAAAATGGAAGACGTCCACCAACATGATGGACTGATGATCTAAAATGTTGCCGAAAATACTATAAATGCACAAATCTGAAAAGGATGGAAAATGATGAGGATATATGTTCAGTAGTTAATTAAAATTATCCGTAGTTGTTTATTTTTCATCTATATTTAAAAATTCTAGACATTTGAATTACGATAATAAGTTAATACATAACAGACAACCGGAACCTATCGGTTAGATTGGCAAAGAAAACGTTCCGACGAGAAAAATCTTGAAATTTAAAAATATCTAATCTATGAATTAACTTTGAAATATATGACTATAACAAAATCTGTTAAATCAATATATGAGCAACTCAAAAAACTAATTTATTCACGAACAAAAAAGCTCATGTGGAGAAAATATATATTTATGTCTCAACACCTATAGTGATTTCTGCTTCCCTTACGTTTAAAAACTTTTTCTTATTACTTAGATAATCCTCAAATGTTTGGGTTACTATTATAATGTCTAGATACACAAACACGTAGGGTTACAAATCATGACTTAATATTTTGTCTATATGTCTCTGTCACGTATTCGGAGCATTATGTAGTCCAAACAGATTACGAAAAAGCTGCAACAGTTTTCTTCTTGGTACTATTTCGAGTCGTCAGCCACTTTAACTTCCCAGTAAACCTACTTTACATCCATACTAGAAATATACTTAGCATTACGCAGTTTGTCAAGGATATCAGATATGAGTGGTAATGGATAACTTACCCTGAGTCATCATAGCATTTAACTTTCTAAAATCGACACAAAAATGTAATTCCCATCTTTCTTTTTAACCGATAATATGGGGGAAGACCACGGACTTTTTGACGGTTCCAGAATTACTACTGGA